ATGATGATTCATGATGTGCCCATAAGATATACATAATCAATAAATTAGTAAATATTATTGCCAAATAGGTCTATGTAAGAACGATGGTATATGACGATTTGTCATGAATATTTCCCCACAAATGTTTCTTGATATATAAAGATGTATATACCGTTACCTCCCCTATATATATATATATATATATATATATATATATATATATATATATATATATATATATATATATATATATATAGATAGATAGATAGATAGATAACATTAGTGGTAAATATACATACATATGCAAAATATATAAAAAAAATACCCATACATGCATATTTTTAGAATAAAAATTCCAAGAGGAAGAATCCAGGTTGAACTCACCTCTCCTAAAATTCTCTCTGTTAAGGTTTAATCTCCCTCCTCCTCATACTTACACTCTCTCTAAATTCTGTTTTTATTTCCGGAGTTGTTTTTTCTATTTTCTTTTTGAATTTGTAGGTATGATGAATTTGATCGTATTTACAATTCCAATGGAATAAATTTTGACCATGGAATATTAGTGTTTAAGCCTTTTTATTATATATATATATATATATATATATATATATATATATATATAATGAAGAAATATAGTCTTAAATTATGCTATATTTATGGGGTAAAGTGCTCAATATCAGAGATAGAGCGTGTGTAAATATAAAAGTGAACATTGAAGTCAACACTTAGAGGCGACAGTCTGTTTCACGCTAGACGCAATCGTCAGGGTACGAGTCTCTCTCTCTCTCTGTCTGTCTGTCTGTCTGTCTCTCTCTCTCTCTCTCTCTCTCTCTCTATATATATATATATATATATATATATATATATATATATATAACTCTCTTTGGATGTATCTTAATAATTTAACATATTTTTGTTTAATGGTAGAAACTAGACTCGTTTCGAAAAACCCTCGAATTTTTGATTTGCTAATCAAATCAACCTCGAAGGAAAAAAAGGTTTTAAAAAAAGAAAGAGCTACAAACATGAACTTCTCCCGACAAAAAATCGCACAAACTTTCCAAATTTTCCAAACTTTCCCTGACGATCCGTTTAGGTGAAACCTAGGTAGGTTTGTCTGGCTCACTAGGTGTATCTGTATCTATCTATCTATCTATCTATATATATATATATATATATATACATATATATATATGCATGTGTACTAGTGGGAAATATCAATGTGGACTGAATATTTCAGTTTAGTGTATATTAAACGTTATGTTAATTGATTACAGTAAATAATTACGTATACAGATCAATACATCGAATGTAAAGAGTATATGAAAGTACTCAGATTCGATGGAAATTACGGTATATTTTTCTTGGATGTCAACGAACGCCTGTACTGCCCAATATATCCTATCCTGCACACAAGGAATACAGTATACACACTTCTTCCTTTTTTTGATGCAATATAGCAAGGCGTGCTATCTGAAAGAGTCAGACGTCGTCATTCATATCTAGAAGTTCAGTAGGTGACAGATATGGTTATTGTACTAGTCACGGGCGTCACGAAACATTATGCAGTGCATACTGAACAGTACGGGCAACATAAAAGCAGCCATCCTGTTCGGTCGGTGCATCGCTTTCCGATTGCAAGAATGCTACCAGAACAGTAATTCTTTTCATAATAACCGATTAATATTTTTTTTTAGCGAGACATCAATATTTTTATGACTGGTAATAGTTCATTTAGAAATTTTTTTCCATTATAAAATTGGCTATTCATAATTTCCCTCCAGAACGAAACATTAAAATTTCATTTAGTTGTTTCACTGAAATTATATGAAAGTTAAACATCAAACGACTGACATAAATATTCGGGTACAAACGCTGTTTCACACTTGGTTTTGATATCATAAATATTTTGGCTATATCTCATGAGATCTAATATTGATTATTCTCAAGAGATACTTTGATCTGATTGCTATGAACCGTAACTTTTGTATAAGAACGAAAAGTATCGATTATTGGAAATTTCCTACTCGAAATTTCAGAAGGTACTTTTAACACGTTCGATCAGCGACAGATTTTTTTCCCTATTATTCGTTGCGTTTAAGCTTTATTCTTGCGTTTCTGAAAATAGAGAAGTTATTGATATGTCGAAAAAGTTACCGATTTTTCCAGTCATTAATATTGAAATCTAGTAACGAAATTGTTTAATTTTGAGCAACCGCTCGTTGATAGGAGGCACGGTGGAGTAATGGATAGCGGTTTGGATTGAGGAATCAGAGAGCCAAGTTCGAATTCCAGTCGAATCCATTACATTCACTTACGTCCAAATACCCTTGGCAAATGTGTGAATTCTCTACTTCTCCCTCCAGCTATTGGTAATTAACAAGACAGACTGGGTCTAGGAGAATGACAACTCTGCGGAAGGTCAGTTCTATCCTGTGTCGTATGGATATTTCTCCATCGGTGAGTTTAAATTGGTGATTAAATTATTTGTATTTTAACACCCTTACTGTACAACCTTGGG